CTTCGCCGACATCGTAGTTTGAGAATGTATCAAGTCCACTGCCAGATGCTGGGAATCATGACAACTGCTATGGCAGACGACTTCGGACTAGGTGCGTTCTACATAGTCGTCCTGACAACAAGACCAAGTTGCGACAAAGAGGTCAACCCACTTCTATAAATCGAAAGAAGACTGCGACAATACCAGAGGCCACAACATCTTGGTCTTCATATATTCAATTAAATAAAGATTTTTTCTTTGTATTTTGGTATAGCGTAGTGATAAGGCTAAGCGTAAATTATAAACAAGATTTTACCGCGGCAATTTTGTACTGAGACCCAATAAGTCGTAGACATGCGCTCCAGGGCTTACGGATGGTCTGTTTTTGCCTAAGTTCTTCTTCGCAAACCCTTGACCAAAATAAGAAAGTAAAAATAAATGATTCAAACGAATACATCTCTAACTCACTGATGTGTTGAGTGTGTGTGTGTGTGTCTTTGTAAAAGATGTTGATTAGGAGGTTTCTAGAGCCTGGCTCAATTTTTATTTGTTGACTGATCTAATCAAGCAATTTAGCCGGTGGTCAATTCGTTGATGACCATTAACTACCTGACTGTTGCTATTCAAATTTTACCTCGATTATTTAAGTTGTCTTGATAGCGACTGTCTGGAATAAATAAAAAGGAGTCGGCCTTTTATTTTTACTTCGTCATTCATCCTAAAAGACTTTTATCATCCATTTCGGTCTTGCCTCATCGTTTTACCAAAAAGCCCAGCTGAATTCTAATTGTAGATGTGAGGTTCTAGATTCAAGTAATTTGCCTTTTAAGCAGCGGCACTTTCTCTCGACTTAAAATGACTCTTAAATGCTGTACATATATCATGTATTTTTGTCTATGATTTAGTACATGTACATTCATATGAAGACACATAAGGGCACAAAGACAAGCGCATGCGCATGATTTTTGATGTAACTAACCAAATCGCTTTATGTCCTATTAGATTGCATCATTTTGGGATATATATATACAGCATTTAGGGATGAGCCGTCGAGTTTTCTTGATTTACTAGCCTAAATATGGGTGAAGGATTGAAACTTTGTTCTGATGATGTCTACCATGTGATGGACGAAAGCTTAATATAATGTTAGAATAACTTTCATTTTATTTGACGAGAAGAGTAGAAGGAGTTTGGAAGCCGAATGGAGCTTTGCTTTTGAGCTGTGGCCGTAGATTTGTGAGTAAGTCCTCGGCACAAATCTACAGTCACAGCTCCAAGGAGATTCTACTCCTTGGACTTCTTTGAAGAGAATTCTCCAGTATAGTCAACCGACAGCTGACCAGGATGACTCTGCCATCACTCGAAATGCAAGTAAACTTCACGAAGAAGCCCGAATTACCCAACTTTGTGTCTCATATAGTAAATTGACTTTATTTTTTGCTGAGCCTTAATTTGATGTTTTTATCGTGGCAATAAGATCGTGGTACTTTTGGACTTCGTCTCAAATAATGACGACTCTTATCTCCAGTTTCCAATTCGCCTCATCAAGTTCCATCGTTGTCACATTAAGGCCTGTTTTAACTAGCTGCAATTGTTCAATTCATTTCCATTTTGAGTGAAAACGTGTGGCGAATAAATTTAGAGGTCGACTTCGCCAGTAGATTATGGCAAATTATCCTTGACTGTTTATCGTTTAGGGTTACTGGGATGTTCTGGTTGACGCCGACCTCGTAACAATCTCCTTCCGTCCCGGTTAAAATAATTCAAGCTAAGGATTTTTAAAAAATTAATGTCCTATATCAACCTATATGCAATTGCAGCCTAGCCTGCCTAAGTGCTTATTCTATAGTTAATGATCGTCACGAAACCTACTCACATTGAGGCGAGTAGTATGATCGATTGGAACAACAAACGCATCGACAATCCCACTATTAAATGTTCAATTTAAGCTAAACTTATCATGTGACCCACAGGTACTATTGGCTCCGTATCAGAATGGTAACACGACTCCATGATGCTCATGATCAACTTTCTAAAATAAATTTTTTGGTAGACGAGGCTGAGTGAAATTTTAATGGCATCATGTAGCAATTTTCATTTTATTGTAGGGAAGTCTCGACTGCCAGTCTTTAAATCGTGCCAAGAGTTATTAGGGCTTATGAATCATATTATGCCAGATAAAAGGCTAGATACCGAAATCATAGCAGGAAATAAGTCTAAAATCCACTGAATTTAGAGCACCCACCATTGGGACTGGTTTTCTCTTAATGCCTCTTTTATTTTATTCTGTTGAATCCCTCATTTCAGCCACTTTCTCACTTTACTCGTTTCCCTAAATGCATATTTCTATCTTTCAGTTGCTGACAAAGGATCCAAAATTGCGCCTAGGCTCTACAGAGGAGCATGAGAAAGGCATTAGGGACCATGCATTCTTTCGACGTCTCGATTGGGAAAAAATTGAAGCCAGGAGCTTGCAGCCGCCTTACAGACCAAAAATCGTATGTACTTACTTTTTGCTGGAAAGACGTATGGAAGTGCGTGAAGAAGAGAATTCTAGATTGACCTCGCCAAAAGACGACGGCAGCTGTTTGACTTTAAAACCATGTCAAGGTTGGTACAGTCCACGAGACATGCTCCCTCATTTCGAGTGAGAACGGGCTGAGCTTTCGTTCGTCATGTGAAGAAGCTTCCCAGAGCTGGAACTCATTCTTGCAAGAGCCTCAAGTCAACACTATACCTTTATGCTTATAACGTATAACAGCTGCTCAGTTTTCTAAAATTTGTGTTAAAATATGACTTTGCAAGAATGAGTTCCAGCTCTAAGGATGTCGGTCATATGATGGACGAAATCTAAGCCCGTTTTCACCGAAAACGAGAGAGGATTTCTCGTCATCTGCGTCAAGTTGAATGTCATATTTGAGCCAAACGGCTGGAGTAAAGCGCGAACCAACCATCATCTTCTGGTGGGATCGACCTTCCAATCTCTTCAATATTCACTTTCATAAAAAAATGAAAGTCTCCCCAACAATATTATCTTATGCGATTCATCGAAACCCATTAATTTTCGTATCTACTTGGTTTTTTTTGAATTTCAGTTTATCTTAGGCTAAGATTTATGGTTCTTTTAACTTTCCAGTTTGACTCAAATGGCAAGATGCTATCGTTATTTATTTTGGTGGAAATTTCCTTTGTTGCAGAAACTTTGTATAGACCTACTTTTTAAATTTGCTCAAACTCGTGGTCGTACTCTATGCTGTTTTGCTTATTTTCATTCGTCATTATTCCAAACACTGGATTTCACCATTAACCTGGCAAAGATGAGTTTCATGCAGTGTTTAAGGTGATGAAGGACTGGTAGTTGAATTTTCCCACAATGATATGAGTTGAGCTGACGTTTCCATTGAATTTCATAGAGCCTTGCATTCCAAAAAGCTTTTCTTATCCAGACAGAAGTGGACTGCAGTTTTGATCTCGCAAAAGTCTTATTAACACCCTCAGCGGGAGTCGAACCGTAACAATACAGCATGTAAACTTGACACGTTAATAACTCGGCCACATTGCCACGGCTGCCTTTGGGTCACAGGGCAGATGTGAATTTCAAGGAAGGCCAGGCTTTTTCCCATATCACATTCTTTCGTGAGATTGCCGATGAAGCAAACGTATTTTTATTATACCAATCGACTACATTACTTATTTTTCGTATATAAGTAGAGTTTCGAGCTCACATTCTTCACTGTCACCGTTCGACTCCCGCTGG